AGTATGATAGTTTTATCAGACTTCACGGCGCAACATCCCAGAAGACAGTCGGATTCATACACTTACAGTCCCCCTGTACAGATGAACTTAAGCGTAATGCATTACTAAAGGACTTGGAGTCTTTTCAAAAAAATTGTGAACATATTTCTTTATCGACAAATAGAGACATGAGGATATTAATGGACTGCATTTACACACAAATGAAGAACTAATCTAATATATAACCTATAAACTGCAGCTGTGTTATAATGTATTTTATGTTGACGAAAATTCTTTTACAAATCACCTTACAATTCAGTACTGACGCCCGGAAGATGCAAAATATTTTCATTTCAAAAAATAAGCGGTCTGAATGTGGCGAAATAAAACCCATAAATTATGTATTCTAAATACGTTAGATGGGAAGAGTGTGAAAAGAGGCTGTTCATTTAAACTCTCAGAAAAAAATCACGAGGTGCGTCTCAAAAGATACGAATTCTGGCGAGAATCCAGTCACGTAAGATCGTATGCGAGTATCGGAAAACAAACTGTAATAATCTGTCTGACATCTGAGTGCTGCTTTATGCCGGGATATAGCTAGCTAGTCCTATCATATGAGCGTAGGATATCATACACTGAAAGGTCGAAATACGGCCCAGAGTGGGGGGGAGGCAGGCCTTTCCTTCACCGCGTCATACAGGCTTAGACCTAGTTTATTCAACCGGAACAATGTATTGTATATATTCAGACAGCAAATGTATTTATCTAGTGCGCAGAGCAGGGCCGTACCATATCCCACTTATAGATGTTACGAGTCAGAACCCTGATGATGGGGACAGTTTGTTCCCGAAACGTCGGTTTACTACGGTAACCAGTTGACGCGGCTGATTGCCCGAGAGGATTTTATTGATTGTACTCGCCGCGAAAGTCTCGTCTTCATATTCGACGCCATGAGGATCTGAAATTCACAAAACACTGCATTTAGCCATCTTGTTTTCTCTCATCGGACTGCATTCCAAGTGCACTAGATAGAGCTGCAGTTTTTGGATTCTCCTCCACGCACAGACCGGTTGGGGAGAGGGAGAGAGAGGGAGAGAGAGGGAGAGAGAGGGAGAGAGAGAGAGAGAAAACGAGCAAGCGAGAGAGAGAAGTCGGCGCACGACGTCGGCTGCCAGCCCAAGCAAAAGCAGGTTCCAGCCTTCAGTTGCAAGCGAACCGCCCGGCTACACAAAAACGGGGAGCATCGCAGAATATCCACCACCTTGCACTCGGTTCGCGTTCGATCAGTCCAGCTGTAGCACCTAACGCTCTCCTACACCTACCAACCCGTGTTACTACTACTATTACTACTGCTGCTTCCGTTAAGCATGACCTAGCCCAAAACACGAGTGTTTCAGTGTTCTTCAGTTTTTCAGTGTAGGTTCTGTTGGAGCAGTGTTGCTTGTGAAATGATTAATTCGATTTATAAGTGTTTGTTTAATACTACAATTAGATATAAAGAGTGTTAGATGGACCTTACCCTGTGCAAATTAAGTGTTCTTAAGTGGTTAAGTGGTTTGACATCAATCTTGGATAAGAGACATCTATAATCTGGTTTCAAGTTCAATTTATTATTAACACAGGATTGCGGTAAAGGATGTGAGGTCCTTCGATCGCTAAGTATAAGTTTAATAGCGGCCTTAAAGATCACGTTACTTTTGAATTGAACAGTCACAATTTTAAAACCTATATTATTTTAATTTGGGCCTCCGTGCTGTCTATATCCCCTGTAGGCAGTATTTAGTGTTTATGTCTTCCTCAGGCACAATTAAAATATACAAGAGTGTTCTTTTACTTGGAATGTAAACAGTTCTTTTATTTGGATATTTAAGAACATTTCTTGATAATTTTGTGTTCATTTGAATTATTCGGGATGTTTGAAAAACAACCCATTATGTCCTAATTTTAAGCACTGGTTATCAATTGTAAATTCAGTGGCTCAATTTACAGTCCTAGATTGAACGTAATGTTACTACAGCTCCATTGAATATGTTGAAAATGGTTTGTCCCAAGTCATACAGCTCTTCTAAATATTTAAGGAGAAATTGTTATAATTTCTTTCGTAGGCGTACCAGATAAAGGCAGAAATAGTACTGCTTATCAAATACAGGAAGTAGTTTGGTCTAACTGCTGTTATAATCCAACACGAACCTTGTAAGATTAATTGTTTAGATATTATTACAGTTAACGTAAGATTATCAAAATCTGCAGTATTGGGTAAAAAATATACGTAATATACAATTAGAAAATGGTAAAAGAAAATTAGCTGAGAATAATAATATACAATAAAAATATGTTGGTCGTAAAATTGCGGGAACAACAGAATCAGTATCACCAAATACTCGGTATTATTTAGTACAAAATTTACCGTCCCTCAAGCTTTTAAAAACACTAAAAATCAAGACATAATAACGCTCCCAGTTGTTCTGCAAAGAATGAATCGTAGTTCTTATATCTGAGATATAAAAGAGCATGTTTCACAAATGTTTAAAACTTCTCAAAAAAGTATTCGGTTGTAAGAGAAATGGAATAAGTTACGAAGCAAAATATGCTACATAGACGTACTTCAAGTGGCGATTCCTTGTGAAATTTAGTGTCATGAAGGTGATCGTCTTCTGGGCTGTTGCGCCTTGCGGTCTGGCAGAAGTCCACTAACGTTTCGAAGGCACTTTCTGCCTCCATCATCAGGGTTCATCCATACGCGAATTCGGAGGAAATATCTTTAAATGCACAGGACATCTTCATCTATAGGCCTCATAAATGATGCTGACGACGATAATAATAATAATAATTATAACCTTCCTCACCCGATGTTACACTTGCTTGTCACTGTCACAAGTTGCGGCAAAATGGTTACTATTTCTGAGTTATGGGTTAAAATTTCGGCTTGGAGACTGGCTCACCAGACTGAGTTTCTTCGCTGTCTTTTTCAGCCCCTTGGGCAAATACCAGGACAGTGTCTTAAAATAGGCCATGACCCTTTCCTTCCGTGTACTGCATATATTTTCCTATTTATTAATTATGTTGTCATTCGACGATAGAAACTCGAGTTATTGACAGCGTTGTAAAATACACAAATAACTACATAAAAGCAGTCATTAAATAACCTTAGTGGACAGGAAGGAACACTTCACAGCACAACATAAAATGCCCGGAAGCTGTGTGAATTACGAGTTTATGTTAATAAAATTCTCATCTTCAAAGGGGTTGTTAAATAATTTCCGGCATCTGCGGAATGAGGCAAAAGAGACATAATTAATTTGTCATTGTGACTAATAAAGGCACAAAGAGGCTTTTTGATTTTTCATTGTGTAGGGGACAGAGGCGAGTCCATATACCATGTCGTGTGTCTTACTCCAGTGTTCCATACCAAGCGTTCGTACATAACTTGAAAATTCCTGGATTGCCCTGATGATGGAGGCAGCAAATACCTCTAAAACGTAGGTAAACTTGTATCATACTATTCGCCTTAAATGTATAACTTCACGGTAAATCTTTAAGTATTCAAAGATGCAGCTGAGAAGTAACAGGCAGGGAGGCATTGTCTTCACATTATACATTCAATTAATATACTTCGTATAGATGATATCTAAATTACAATACCATCACGCTTCGTAGGATGAGTTTTGCTATTTACTGGCACAGAATACGCCTGCTATCTTTAACGGCGACTCACAATAACAGAAAGCAGTATTCTGGAGGAACAGCATCCGGGCAGGGCGAGTGTGTTGTCACTACTACACACCAAATGACACAGCAGGTTTCCAACAGAATTAATGAGACAGCTAAGTGACAAATAGTTCAGGCAAATAGAAATTAAACCACGGATTTCCAAACGCGAATCCACAAATTCCTATTTTAATATAAACTCCAACCTAAACTAGTAACATATACTAGACTAACAAAATTTTTCTAAATATGACCCCCAAGATTCAACACCCTTAACCGAATCACAAATTTTAAAATGGAGAATATACAGTAGATACATCTCAATTGTTATTCTATTCATACTGACATAAAACAACAACAAATATTATTTATTTTATAATAATATATCTTGAAGCGCGGTATTGGACGTTCATATACTGGGATCGTGGGCTCGAAACCTAATCGAAGCACTGACGCGTATACTCGTCTTGGCATGCTGTCTTATCCAGAGTAGGTAAAGGCCTTGCGAATTGTCGACAATGTTCGAAAAGTTGGCAGAAAATAATTCTGAGATGCCGAAGCTCTGAATGAGCTATAGTGCCTAATGCAGTAGCAGTCGTAGTATTGCATTGAAAATGTCGCAATGAATGATTTTACCCTTTCGAACACATTCTGATTCATTCTGTTTGTTCACCAATGACAGGTACAAATAGAAAATGTACACAATTAAACAAATCAAAGCATAACGGGACGCATGCAAATGAAGTCGAGATGGTTCAGCATGATCTATCTCCGCTGTAAACATCAACACAGGCGAACTCTCCACATTCAAATAACGACTAATATTACATCTATCGTACAAAGTTCATAGGATATAACAGAATTCATAATGCTTTTACTGTAGTAATATGATCTCGGATAAGTGTCTAACTCAGGAATAGCTCCAATATTAAACATGCTTAGAGCAGGGGTATTTAATCTTCTTCTGGTTGACGTGCTTCTGGTGATGCTTAAAATTTATAGGGGACAAGGTATTAATCTACCAAAAACTGCCAATGTCAGTAATTATATTACGAATAGATTTCCATCTTCTGTTCTCAAATAAAGATATTTCCCAAAAAAAACCTGGCCTACGGAATAGGAAATATTTTCACAGAAAATGTAACCACAACTTACGCTCAAATCACTAACTGGTGCGACATCTGATCGCAGTCAAAGAGATTCTGTTCATACAGCGAAAATCACCAGTTGCTTTGCGATCACCAGTGACATATAAATAAATTATTATAAATATTTTAAATTCTTGCCAGCACCCTGAAACCCCTCTGAGGGAACCATGGTGTTCGCTGGCAAGTCGTTGGGGATCCCTGGTTTAAAGAAGCAGAAGAATGTCTATAGATTACGATAAATGAAGTATGGACATATCACATGAGTTCCGAAGACACGTGGTTTATGTAGTAATATTTACAAAATTCGAGGTAATTAAAGGAGCGAGAAAATGCCATTTCTTTTCCCAAACGTCATTAAAATTGTCGGGCTCATTTTTATGTCCAATGCAGCTCTTGATTTACGAGATGATAAATCCGAATTCCAGTTCGGTAAAGCCGCCTCGTTGTTAAAAAATTAGATTAAAGAAGATAACGAACCTCCTTAATATCAAAAACATTTTATAACATATTTGTGTACGCCTATCGGGTGAAGTGAAAAAATTACTAGAGAAATATTTATGGCTCTGTGCTGTGTAATATCTCCGCTACCGATTTTCTATGTCAACAATACAATTTGTTACTCTGCAGAGTCGCATTTCTTCTCTTGATTAGCTTTATCAATAATTAAAATCACATATCGCGCATTTGGGAACAGCAAACTAGATATTAGAATAGCTTTTTATCTCCTGTTCAATAAATGTATACTTTTATAAACTATCTGAAATTTGTAAACTGAGCACAGCAGTTTAGCACCCTCCTGTTCAATAAATGTATACTTTTGTAAACTATCTGAAAATTGTAAACTGAGCACAGCAGTTTAGCACTTTAAACGTTCCCAATGTTTGTTGGCTACCACGCCGCTTAACGAAATCGATTGGATTCTCGACTGATGGAATGTGGAAGTAACAGAATCCATCTGTTGCACACCCACTTTGCATGTCCAGCTCGGACTAGGCCAGCCGGAAGGCTGCCTGGGGTCAAGGTGATGCTACACCCGCAAGCTTGGCGAACCCCAGTTCAGTCCTCTTCACGAAAATAGTTTTCGTACCTTAATTTTTTTTTTACTCCGAAAGATTTAAAAAAAAATTTGATTATTATTTCGTATGCTTTAAGCACCCAGTTGGCTTTAACACCCTGCCGGAAAATGTTAAGTGTTCCGGGTACATTTAAGGCTTTGACCGGGATGTTAAATCTTATGTGGTACCGCCTGATTCGACTTCTAATGGTTAAGTGAAGTGTTTTCTTCGCGGTACGGTCTGGATTCATAAATAATATTCAGACGATCTTCGGCTTCAAAGGGTTAAATAACATGCAACTACAATTACATGTGTAAATTTTAAAAAAAAATATAGATTAGCGTATACTATAGTAATTTGTCATTTTTAAATAAATATTTTTAAAGATAAGGAAAACAATTTTTGGCCAGAGGGAAAAAAAGTTGGACCATCTTGGCTTAATTCACTGTTGCTGCTGGTTTCATTAAAGACGATGCTACCCCCGTTTCACGTACTCCACAGTCCCAATCGAGTCAGTAAAACAGTCATGTGCTTCTTTTAGAGGAAGTTACAATTTCCAAACACACTGCAGATCCAGCACTTCGAACAGTCCACGCGAGCAGAAACTTTTATGAGTTTCAGACGAAAGGAAATAGTCTTAAAAGGAGCATTCCTCTTTCTAAGCTGCTGGCATAAACTTCATGATAAAACACACAATTTAAAATGATCCTGATCGTCAATAAATATTTCACTTATGAAAGGCATATAATAGCTTCATAAACTGTCATTTTACTTCTAAAACATTTGACCTGAGAAGGAAGACAGAAAACACTAAAACAGACCTACATAGTTGAAAGAACAACCCAGGCATGCCAATAAGTAGAAACACTTTAAAGAAACTTTTATAATTTTGCTGCCGAATATAACTGTACCCGCAAATGTCATTAAAATAGTTTTATTACGCTTTTATCCACGACATTTTTGGTAACACAGTGCATGAAAAAATATCGAAAACGACGTTCACAATATTTTAACATTTTAAATGTTGATCTGAAATACTGTAAACAATTTGATCGTCTTGAACAGTTTTAATATTCGAAGTAATTTTATCCATGCACTTAAATGTTGATCTGAAATATTATAAACAATTTGATCGTCTTGAACAGTTGTAATATTCGAAGTAATTTTATCCATGCAATGTTACTATTACATTTTTATCATATTTAAAATAAAAGTGAAAGTGAATTTATTTTGGGTGTCTCTGAAGCATTCACTAACTTCGCAAATGAACTCTAAACAATAATTTCACATATTATGTTCCTCAAATATCAAAATCGCTTTCAATGTCATTTCGTCCTTGTATATTTTGAAGATACGTAAATCCACGTCTAACCAAGATGACTGAAAGAAAATTGCTTTTAAATGTCATATCTGGAAATATCTATCGACATTACTCGTCCAACGAATGTTAGAAACTACAAATCTGACCCTAAGTATATTTATATCTGTGATAATAATACATACTAAACTATTTTTATATCTTTATTAATTTATATTTTTCACTCTCCTACACTTAAAGATATTTAATTTTGAGATGGCTTCTATGTAATTTGTAACATCTATTAAAATGTCTCCAATTATGTAACTCTCCATTCGAACATTTTCTACGGCAATATGTAAATTGAAAGCCATCATGATGTTCTATTAGGCCTTTTTGGATTCAGGAGGGAACTTCTCATTCTTATCCTTTATGACTTAATGACTCTTATCCGCTGACATGGAATTATCTTTTACACAGAATCTGCGTACAATAATAAACACTACTACCTACAACTGCCCAGATCCTGGATGTTTCTACCGCTGAATTCACTTGAAAAGCCCGTCCTTGCCTGTAATAATTTCAGCCGTTTAATCGACAAGGTGTTTCTGATATACAAAAGAATAAAACATCACATTTCTTTGATTAGTGTTTGAAGCACGAAGAAGGAATTGTTTGAAGACAAAACTCGAAGATGAGAACATGAACAAACAATCGAAACTGTGCATATAACAGCGTACGTAAATTCAGACAAGCGTTTTGCGTTCATCTGCGTATTAATACAAATTTGAAATTGTTGACGTTTCAAAGAAAATTTTTCGCTCGTTCGTTTATTCTCCAAGTTTGGTGGATCTACTATCGCAATATAAATGTCTGATCCAGATAACAACTTTGACGATGAGGTAAGTGTTCTTCCATGATAGAATAAGATAACTGAATGAATGTGAGTGTAATGTATTGATGGTAACAATTGTTAGACGGATGTGTGGAATAGATAGATTTGATTTTGCAGGGCAACATGAGACGTAAAACAATTTATGTCCTACTAGATACATGAAATGTTAAATTTATTGCAATAAGATGTTTGATTAACTTGCATCGAAAGCAGTGTCCTAAAGTTTCTAAAGACACCTACACGTTTAAAATATTTCGGGATATGGATCTTTGAATTTTATATAAAGTGGGCATTTTCTTGATCAGCTGAGCGAGTAACAGATTATCAATAAATACTCTGTAACAAGCAGTTAAAATTTGTAAATACCCCTAACCACTTAAGCATTCAAATAAGTTATATTATACTTTTGGTTAAATAAAATAAGTCGTAAGTTTCTATTACGACTTAGTACAAGTATTTACGTCGCCCTATTAAAAATATTTACAAATTCATTCTTTCTTATATGTATATTTATATTAACTCGAATTTAATTTAAGAGAAAAATATTCGGCCGCATGCAAATTACACTGCAGATAATACATTACACACAGTCGGATATTATTCACCCTTGTCTGTTTCTTTTGGCCTAATTCTGTCGAGAATTAAAGGTGGAGGACTAATGTATGAAGCCAAGAGCCCTTTATTTAGGACATAAATCAAATGGTGTTACAAGCAGTCTCCTCTGTTTCATGTGACACACAGATAGTTCAGAGAAGTTTGTACGACCCACATCCTAAACCTTCACATAAGCCTCATAAATTGTTTCTGCATCGTAAAATTCTCTCTTAGAATCCTGTAGAAACTTTTCATTCTTTGAAGCCCATTAAGTTTATACATGAAGCCACTGAATGGCCAACGGAATAAGAGAGAATGGTATAACACTAGACGTTAAAACTGACGTATCTTATCCACTCAGACCACACAGGATCTCGCATGTGTCTACAAGCTTATATTCTTTTACTCCCACACAGAGAATCTAAAGCCTCGGTTTCAAAACAGTGTTTTTTTTTTGCGAAAATTCGCAGACAATATTTTATCGCGCAGAATGACCTTGAACCAGAAACTGTCTTCATTAAAATAAAATTTTAAATTGAAGGAACACAAGCAGAAATAAGAGAAGGACGTAACCCTGGTATCATCTAACAAGATCGGGGGCATACATTTTCAAACACCTTACATTCTTTATTACATTTTATAATTTATTTTTATATAATATTTTGTAAGGTAGTATATTTGCGCCATATTGTGAATTAGGTTAATATTTTAATATTTTCCGTCAAATCACAATTTTAATAAGATAATAAAATATTTAAAATATCATTTCACGTTCCGCATCGAATGATCGATTTACAAATTGGAACGTCTCTTACGACATGTTTCGGTTATATTTAACCGTCCTCAGGTATAAATTAGATTGGTAAATTTAAAACTCGAATTACAATCATTTACAATGTTATGCAGTTTATTGAAATGTTCTTATCAGATTACTCTTAAAATATAATATTTTGTCATAACCTCTTTGAGATTTACTTAAACTAAAATTGAAATCCGCCCAATAACGTCAGGCGTACGTCCACAATAACAAATCTGATCTAAAACCGTGCAATAATTTCAGGACGAAACACACGTACAGAAAAACCTCTCCGTCTTAGTCTGCATTACGCAGTTCCTGTGAAGAACTCGTATTAAGGAAACACATGTATTAACTGGGCAATAACGAAGTTCTTACAACGTGAAATGGAATAAAATGAGTGTTCACAGTAACAGATGGCAAAGTACATAAATTACGGCAATAAAAATATGTTCGACATGCCTAAAACGTTAAACAATTACGCCGGACGTGAAATTTCATAAGAAACACCAAGCGTATATAGTTGCAGTTCAAACATAATTAACTACAGTCTCTTAATGGTTACTAATTTCAAAAAAAAGTATTCATCGCGAGAAGGAAATACGCAGACTATAGGCGAAATATATAGTCTATTTGGAATTAATTTCGCTTACACAATTCCACAATCTCCGGATAATTCAGCGGGCATTAGTAATGCAGTTACAAATCGATTTGGTCAATATTTGCAAAGATAAACTACAACCACAACCACAACCACACAAAAAATGCACACGAACACGGTTGACAGAACGGCAAAAGTAATAGATGAAGTTTTTTTTTGGAAAGTTGTAATTTCGTTGTATTGTTATGAAAAAACTCATTATTCGATGAAAGTGGGTTTGATTCTGCTTGTATGTAAAACGTAATCGATTCCGAGCTAAAGAGGTTTACGTCCTACAAGTTCCTCCCAACAATCAGGTTTATTACGATTTAAAAAACCTAATGCTAATCTATCCACACACTTTAGATATTAACTTGAGATCAAAAGACTGTATTTGCAAAATCTTTAAACATGAAATACAGGACCACAAAATAGTAACTTATTAAACCCGCTACAAATTTTCGCCCTACGTAGAAAGTATCACCTAAAAAAAAAATCACATTAAGTGACGGCTATAAACAATGTCATATACCAAAGTCTTATAAACAGAAATCTATAAAAATAAACAGTACTAATGATAATTTATCAAATTAGGATAATATCGGCCAATGTAAAATTATTTCCGAAACCGAAATCGCTTTAGAAGAATATAGAGCGTGTTTTGTACCCAATTCATTTTTGAACAGATTACGTGGGTTCAACAGAAGTACGTTGTCTAAAACAAGCACAATGAAGTGCGCACTATAACATTAATCAGCTTAACTGCAACAATAGTACTAAGCAATGGTACTTAAAGATGATCTCATGTATTTGCAGTACAGTCACTGTTGTTGGTATTATGTTAACTGTTACTAAACTCCTTGGCAAGTACTACCCAATTGAAAACTGGAATCGTCCATTACTATTATATGTATTTACTGCTGATGCTTTTAAATTTACTGGAATGAAGAGGTTCAGGATTTATCCAAAGGCTCGTTTAATTATCGGCTGATTTTAAATTTACTGGATTGAAGAGGTTCAGGATTGATCCAAAGGCTCGTTTAATTATCGGCTGAGTTCAGGCTTATTGCTGGGTCAAATCTAAAACTTCTTGACGATGGTGAAGAGTCATTTGAATAAAAATTTCCTTGGATATTATCCATCGTCTAGTAAAATATAAAACGTAAAACGACGTTTCGGAGATGGGACAATTGTCCCATCTCCGAAACGTCGTTTTTTATTCAAATTATTGCTGGGTATTTATCATTATTACCACCACCAATTTTACGATTAGTATTGACTAACGGAATGAAATAGGATTCTTTCAAAGGTTGATACATAAAAAGCTTGTCAAGATGTTTCATACATTCTGGATCTTAAAATTAAATCATCCTGTTCACAAAAGCTTGTTTCCGGACCCTATAATGTCTCGACTGAATTTTGTTCACACTTTTACACTATAACGTCTTATTTCTTCAAGGTACAGTTCACCATTACCATAACATCTGCTTCTAGGTCTCCCAAGTGACGCTGATCGTCCAAAATATATGTAATATATCTCTTACCGCGTCCATACTAAGTTATGTTTTCAGGTCATGTCACCACATTTTATTTAATCATCCTAACAATATTAAGCGAGATATTAAAGTGATAAAGTATAATAATAATAGATAATAATAATAGATAACTGAATTATTATTATTTACATTACATAAAATAACTGTGGGTTTGGAATCTGTAAATTTATTTATATCACAAAATATAATTGCTGTTGTAAAAAAGAAGATAATGTAATTTGGACATTTTATCCAATACAGCATACACCAGTTTTTTCGGTTGTACATTTTCTCTCTTACCTTTATAATAACAATGGTAAAAATGAGTTGAAATCCCACAGGAGTTGTAATCCTGTTACAGAAAATTACTTACAGCACATAAACGAATATTAACAGAGAAAATTGTTCAGAAAAAAAATTCATTACCGAGGACGGTCCTTTATTTCCCTTCGTGTTCAGCTCTCAGAGTGAAAACTCGCATACATTTTTTTAATAACACTGTTTCGAGTCAATGCTACTTCACAGGCGGAGACAGTGAAGTACGTTCAATATGGTGCTTCATTTTGCTTCGTAAAGATAAAAAACACAACACGGGAAATTTAATTTAAAGCGCGCTCCTAAACAACTTTTGAGTTTATGAAGAAAATAATATTGGGTGGGTATATTACGTATGGAACTTATAAAGATTACATTCACATCAAAATGATGAAGACAGGATGGAAAACGATGAAGACAATGAAGGATATTTAACTGTTCTACAGTGAAGAATGACGTACTGGACTGGAGAAGACTAGGCGATGAATGAAGAATAATGAAATGGAGAAGGCGGAACGAGGACGGGAGATTACTGAACGGGTGAAGACAGCGTGATTGAGGAAGGCATCAACGACAAACCGGCTGTCACATTCGACAATTTATCTAATGGAACAGCGTCATTTAAGGAGTACTAATATATTCGGCAGCTGAATGTTGTTGAGATCGCCTCTGTCGTTAAAACCCAGGAAGCGTACATCAGTTTGTGTATGCAGAGTTCGGGATTCACTTTGCACGGTAAGACTTACGGAGGCGTTGCTGAAATGCATCTTAGTATTGACAGCAAACAGCAGGTACAGCCCACACTGAAGACGCAGGTTCTGGTCGCACTTGACATTCACCGCACGCTCATGTTTAGTAATGGCAGAAGCGACGAGGCAATTTTTCATGCTACTGCAGTTACTGGAGGAATCTCGATGCCTCCAGAGCGAAATATACTAACCAGCCTCAAAACTGCTTCAGAGTAAAATCTGAAGATTCAACACGGCTAAAATGTAAACCCAACACTCCACACAACCCTGAGTCACTTCCATTCATATTCTATATTATTTTATAAGATCCATCTTAGCCAACTGTTAAACGCTTACTAGGTCATCCAAGTTAACGTTTTCCAGAGATCCACCATCAAA